CTGCGCATAATTAGGAATAAAAATAAATATTAAATATTAAATATATAAATATAAAAATACTCCTGCAATAAGTAACTAAATATTAAGATATATACAAAAATGTAGGAATATTCCTATATCTATATATCTTACATTTTATTTTCTTCCATTGTGCGTTTAACTATTATTTCTAATTCCGATTCCTAATATTTAATATTTATTATTTTTATTCCTAATGTGTGCTTTATTGTGCGCAGGGCCTAAAACGTGTGGCGTCTGACTGTCCCACGTCGCCAATTGGCCAATTCGACGCAGAATCTTCTGATCGGTCCAATGGGAAAAATTCCAAGGCACAGTAAAAATCGCAACGTGCGTACGCACTTTTACGCGACACGCTGCAGCCCAATGCAATTATGTTAAAATATTTTATCGTCAAAATTTATCGTTAAAAATCACTTTTCCATCACCCTAAATACGACTGATATTTTTTCGCGCTTTCTTTTGGTAATCCTCTTCTATATTATATTTTAGCTTGTTTAAAAATAACAGCTGTTTTGATTCACGACGCCCACGCGTGGAGACGTATATGAACGCTCAACTTCCGACTTTCTTTCCTGTATGGAGTCTCCTAGTGGCATCTCATAACGTGAGTCCCGTCACGATACCGTTTGATATTTCGACAATTTTCGGGTAACCAATTCAGCCGGATAGAAATGTTCGAAGCACGAGCATTTCCAAGATTCTTTTTAAAATAAAATGTTCTTTACTGACAATCGTTTGTAATTAGTTTGGCGAAGATGTATCTCTGATGCACGTGGCACGCGGTATAATTTTCCACATGCGTTTTCCTCATGCGTGGTTTCGGAGTTAATTTTTGGATTTCGTGAGTTTAGGCAGGAGGGCTGAGATATTGAGTAATAGTTAGAAAATTGTTTTGTCAAATCAAATGGTAGATTGATGTATATTACTTCCGGTTTTGAGGTTATGTTTCACTCCAGTTACAATAAATAAGACATAATTGTATATTTTGTTTTATTGTATTAATTTGCGAATTTGAAACCGTAAATTCTTATAAGTTAGATTCTTCTCATATATACCATAATAACTATGAGTTACTTAAATATTATTACCATCTTTCAATAAACTTGTGCAGGCTTTAGAATTGGAATAAAGGAAAAAATTTGTACGTTTTATTTGTAAAGTTAATTAATGATAAAATTATTTGGTCTTTCTGTCGGTTGCAAAAGAAAGTTGTTGAAAAATACATTTAACGTAGCAGTACCTTCTTCCCAAGTGTAATAAGTTAAAAATAAAATCTTGTTTCAGGTTGACTCGTAATTCAACCACAACGTTAAAATGTCAGGAGGTTTAGA